CCCCCCCCTGCATGGCATTTGCTCTCCTGCTCCCACGCAGCGGGACGGCGCTGGAGGCACCTGCCCCGCGCATCTCACAGGCCCCCTCCGCCCCGCCGGTATCAGCAGAGCTGGCAGCGAGGAGGCGTCAGCCTGGTGCCACCTCAGCCTACGCTGCCCGGGAGGGAAGGGGGAGCAGTTGGCAGCGCTCGTAAACTCGAGCTGGAAGAGATGCGCAGATAACGAGCAAGGAGGCTCCGCTGCTGAACAACCGAGTCCACAACTTTCCGGAGACTCGGAGGCACGGTGCGTCAGCAGGCTGTTTCTCGTCTCGGCTGGAGAGGACAGCTCTCCACGTAGGCTTCCAGGAGCCAGCGGTGAGCCAGAAAGCCGGCAGCAGCCTATTTTTAACTTCTGTGCATGCTGGCACCCTCTCAGCGTCAGCACCTCCACTTCCGAGACCGTCCGGGACGATGGTTAGGGCTCAGGGCTGCAGGCTCTGAGGTTCGTGGGGTGCAGATAGGCACCCAGGAGAAACATCTGGAGTCGCCAGCACCTGGCGTGCTTGTCCAACACCCTGAACGGGGACGGGAGCAAGACCCACGTGCCGCCCGGTTGCAGGACAGTGTGCGCTGGGCGCGGTGGTGCAATGCACAGGGGGCCGAGAGGAGGAGTGGAGCCCAAGCCTCTGCACCCCACAGCCTGGAGACCCCCTGGACTCAGATCCCAGCCCATAGGCCCTGTCCCTAGGGCTCCCCACACTGAGAAGTGCGGTGCCTGGGCCCAGCGGGAGAGCCAGGCGGACAGGCTCTGCACCTGGCACCCATGTTCAGGGAATGGGGAGCCCGCAGCACCTCCTGAGGGCACTCCGGAGAGCGGAGAGGCTGAGCAGGGAGGTGCCAGGCACGGGCGTGTCTGAGCCCCGCTCCTTCCAGCTCGGTGGGGCGCCTGGCCCAGGACTGAGCGGGGTGCCTCTGTCACCCAGCTCGGCACCCGGGGTGCGGTGCCCCCGCAGGCAGCAGCCCTGCGTTCAGCACGAAGCACGGCATCCCCGCTCGCTCTCCGGCGTGGCCGCTGGTGCCCACCCTTGGCCCGTGGCGCTAACGGTTGGAGCCGGTAACGACTGCCGCGTTCTGGTCCAAGGACTTGCTTGCGCTCTCTCTGAGCAGCCTCAGTCGGACCGAAATGGCAACGGCACGTTGGCGCGTGGGGACAACGCGGAGCTTCAGTCTGACCTTGTTAGGAGGAAAATTTCCTCCTGGTTTCACCATCAGAAGTGACCCCAGGTCACAGAGGGGAATATATATATAATTAGATCCT